AGGCAAAGAAACAAATGTCTGACAATGCCTATCTTGAGATAGCAAAGGAAGATAGGGAAATTTGAGAAAGGTATGAAGCCCTTCACCCCTGAGTCTGATTAACACTCTTGCCAGCCCAGTTAACCCTTTCTGTGAAGGTTGGTGACATGCACACAATACTCATTCCATGCGGAGATATTTCAAAGAAGAATGGTAAAACAGCAATCACGCTCACAGCCTAAGCATGCAAGGTCATTCTCCTTTTCCAGATGAAAACCTGCAGCTTCCTAAGAGTCTTACAAGAAACCCTGTTTGCAGTACAAGGCATGTCTTAACAACCTTGTAACCCACAATGTTTACTTACCAGATTACAGTTCCTTTGGAAGGCACCCCTAAAGTCACATTTATTTATGAAAAGCAAAAAAGTGAGCTTAGTCCTGTGGGTTACAATCCCCAGGCAGAAACAAAATGGTAGATTTTTTTTACTCTAAAAGATTCTCTAGGTGAGAGAAGAGTGAGAACTATGAACCATCAATCCAGAAGTACAGTGAGGATGATGATGACAATGACATGCTTAAGGAAGATGAAGTAGATGGAAAAGAGTATTTCTCTGGGATCTTCTCCCTGAAGAGTGAGCACTGTTTCCAGAGAGCAGACTGTGTTCTAACAGACTACATAGAGAAAACCAAAGGAGTCGGGGGCGGGGGAGATAGAGCATTACAGCCAAGAAGAGAAAAAGACGTGGCCTCTTCTAAAAAGAGGAGGATGGCAGGGAAGACTCTGGAGGGAGCAGGAGTGAGGAAGAAGGAGAAGCAGAGCAGAAATGGAACGCTGTGTCAGAGGACACAAGGACAAAGAAAAACTGTGGGCCAGCTGCTTCAGTGATGTGAGACCAAATGAAAAGTGGCCCCAAGACCACAGGTTAGGATAGAAAATGGTCAAAGCAGAGGAAATAGAGAAGCCTAAAGAGACAGGAGTTTGAAATCCCCTTCTGCTAGTGGAAAACGGAGGGTGACTGAGGAAGCAGATATTGTACGTAAGCAAGCCAAATCTTTCCTCAAGCAAGGTGACCAAAAGCCACAAGCTAAAAGTCCTTCAGCTGTGTCACTTCCTGCCAGATCAGGGGTTAGAGAAGAAGTGGTGTGAGAAGCCCCTTGTGGGAATGTGGAGCCAAGCAGCAGAAGATGAGCACCCTGGAGATGCCAAGGAGCACCACAGTAAAGCATCAGGGAGGATGAGATTGGTGACAAGCTGTCCATCCATAAGCCACAACAGAGAGCACGTGGGGTGGAAAGATTTTCTAGACTGGGTTTGCCACAGATAATTTGAAATTGAGTGAGCTCCCAGGTTCAGGAAAAATGGAACCTTTACATTCTCAAGAACTATGTGAGTGATCCTGTAGACAGTGTAAGTTTTTCCTGTGTCTATGAAGTCTTTGTAATATTCCTATTTCCCAGCAATGCATCTTTCTGTGTTGGAGTTCTGCTTATGTGTCTTGGTCTCATAGAGCTTCATTCATTGTAGTTTTAAATGCTTGTCCTTAAATAACTGTACAAAAATTGGGCCTGTATTAATTATAGAGGGGACAACAACTTTGTAAGATGTAAGTTTTGAGAGCCAAGAAAGCCATATGTGCAGCCACTGATAAGACACTGAAGTCATGCTCTCCCTTGAGACCTCTGCATGCTTAGGCGTGGCTCATCCTCTCTTCCCCTACTTGGCCTCCCTTTGTATACTAATGTTTTTAAATGTGTATGTGTTTGCTTCTTAGTAAATCCAACTCTGGTTCACACTGGCTCGTTCTGAAACTCCTTTCTGTGTCAAAGTCAAGAAACGTGGCTTCACCTGTGTTAAGTCTCTGAAAAGAAGTCAACCCGCTGCAGTAGCAAAGTGTAGCATGTCTATGGCTGCACCCAAGTCACTGACACCTTGAACCAGTAAGTATGATTTTTAGAAAACATCAGATTAGCAGAGGAGAGCACACACAGGACTACATGTTTCATTTACAAGAAATTCTCATGACTGAGAAAACCAGGCAAAAAATGGATTTGTGGTTGCCAGGAAAAGAGTGTGGGTGTGAGGAATGGGTATTGATAATCAACAGTCTGTTCTTTTTTTCAGTAGTCGTAGGAATGTAATATATTTGTATATACGCAAAGCCACTAACTGTATGCTTTAAAGGACAAATCAGTATGTTGAGACCAAGGGTTTCTGATATAAATACATCTGTCCTGGGACATAGTTTCTAAGCTGCCATCAACAGGACCAGGCCCCAGTATCTATGAATCACTCCATTCCAATGAATGTCATGCTGTCTTCTGTCTTCAGCATGCATGTGGTACACAGACATACATGCAGGTAAAACAATCAAAAACTAACTACATTATTTTACTTTAAAACAATTAAAGAAGGTGAAATTTAAGATGCAAAATTTACCAAAAAAAAATCTCTTTTGGGGGGCATGCAAATGCAGCATACCACGCTCAGGAATGCTGGGTACAGTGTGCTGTACTAGTTTGTTCCAGTGTCTGTTTATGACATTTTGCAAGGAAGAGTCCTCCGGTGGAGCAGTCTACATCCCAGCCACTGGAAAAGCCTCTTCTGGAAGTCAGTGCCAAGATTCTGCACATGGGTCTGGGCTAGTGCAGACCAGAAGGGACACCTGGAGCAAACACCTTCCCAGCTGAATCCCTCACATGGACAGAGGCTTAGGGTCGGCGACAGCCACCAGGGCCTCTTGACATCCTGCCAACCTTCTCCCTTGGTTCCCTGTCAGCAAGAGACCCAAGGATCCTACCAATTTTGCTTTTACCAGGGCCCAACTATTCCTCAAGCCCCACCCATCCTCCCTCCACTGTGGCCAGAGATGGTTGAGGTCAGGCCAGTCCACTCCGCCCCTGGCCTGGGGAATTGAGCATGAAGTCCCCGCCCTGTGGTGAATAAAGGGCCTGTCTGGATAGGATCGGCAGTTCACTCCACTCCAGGGGCATCAAACCTTGAACACTACAATGAGAGGTCAAAAAAGTAGGAGGTATGTACACCTTGTTCAACCCAGGGTGATGGGTCCCCTTAAGGCCAACTTTAGAAGATCTAGGCTGAGTCCAGGAGATGGAAACCCCAGGTCCTGAGAGTTAGGAAGAGAGACGGAGAGGAGTGGTGTCTGGGGAGCATTCACAGAGGTGACTTCTCTGGAAACCTCAGAGAGCCACCGGCAGTGAGGGTGGTCTTAAGGCTGGGGTCCTAGAGCTTTATTGACCCACCTGAGTCAGGCAGAGCTGCTGCAGGGTCACAGCACTCTTTTCCACTGTCCTCTATCCTCCTTCCTTTCAGGTCCTACCACCTAATCCATTTGACTTCACCCAACCTCTTCTCTAAGATCTGAAAAAAAAAAAAAGAAAAAATGCCTTTTACTTCTGTGTTCTATAAAGATCAGCAGACTCTGCTCCAACCTGAGCTCTACTCCAAATCTTCATTCCCATTTTAAAAACAAGTCACCCCATGTTGACTGAATCCCCAGCCCCTACTTCTATCCTATTCATGCTTCCTGGTGATTGGAATTAGAGACATCTCCCTTGCCTTCATAGAGTGCCTACTAGGGTGGAGACATCAATCCGTAAGAGAAAGGATTACTCTTAGGAGTGATGAGCAGACTGGGGTGGGACACATGCAGAGATCCTGAGGTTGTCCTGTCCCAATGAAGGCGGGAGGGGTGAGTAGTTTGAACTCAGTGAAAGCAATGGGGGAGGTGACCTTCTAGGTGGAATAAACAGCACTTCAAGGACTCAGATTAAACTTTAAAGTGACATAGAGATGAACAGGATGTAGGGGTGGTAAGCTGGGTCAGATGAGAGGACCAACCAGAGGGGAAGTCATTGAAATAAAGCAGCCCAGCATCCTGTCAGAGCCTGGGAAACTGAAGGGGAGGAGGCCAAGGGTCTAGGTACTCTCTCAGGATGCTGTGTCCTCCTGTCTGGGGAGTGGGAAGATGTTGGGATGGAGTGTTCTGAGGCTCCCTTGGCTGTCTGCTCTGCATTTTAGCACAGAAGAAAACACTCTGGAACACACGTGGTGACGTGGTGAAGGTCATGTGGCTGTGAGACCACGGCCATGGAATGCACAGTGACTCAACACTGGGTTAAGGTTCAGCCGCAGTCACTTAGTCTAGGCCAAGCTGTGCATTCACCTGGGAGGTGAGGCATGCTCGAGGGAAAAGCAGCCTGGGTCCTGCAGCTGATGCAAGTCCTGAGCAGCCACTGCAGGGGAATGCTCCCTGCTGCACAGCACAGGAGACAGCACCAGCCTGTACAGGGGTCTCATCCAGCATCTCAGTGTCTTTCCTGCAGCAACTGGCAAACGTGGAGCGCACTGTCTAATGCCTCATGGATAACTCAGGAGGATTCTTCCCAGCAGAGTCAAGGATGCAGAGTTGGTGAAGCCAGACTAGAGAACCTTGAGATCATGGTTGTTTTCTTGTTTGCTTTCTTTTCTCTTCCTCCTTCTCTTTATCCTTGACTCAACCTTCTTCAGAAGAGAGGAGCTCATCTCTTCTGAAGGAGACTAGAGCTCACCTCTCAGCTGTGTCCTATTACATTCCTGGTGATCTTTCCTTCTACCTGTGCAGATGAGACAGGAGCTAGTTTGATCTGCTATCAAGACCACACTTAGCTAATCACCTTAAAATAAGAAGTACCTTGACAGAGAATGAAGTTTGGTTTTGGAATTCTTTGTATAGACTTTGATGTCCTGGACCAGGGTGTCCTCAGACTCACAGAGATCTACCTGCCTCTGCCTTCCGGAGTGCTGGGATTACAGGTGTGCACCACAATGTCCCGTTGAGAATGAAGTTTTAAAATGCAAATTAGAGTACTTATGAGGTTTTGAAACGACAACCAGGAGTAGAGTGCCCGAGATTTCCCTGTGTCAGATCAATGAACTTTCAGTGTTGTACTGAGTCCCTTTTCTCCTTTGCCTCCAGGCTCTCCTTCACGAATTCTCTCACTGATAAAAATGGCGCCCTTGCCATCCGTCTTTTAAAGATGCTATGTGAAAAAAACCCTTCGAAAAATGTATGTTATTCTCCCATGAACATCTCCTCTACTTTAGCTATGCTCCTCTTGGGGGCGAAGGGAAACACCGAGATCCAGATATTGCAGGTAAGTTGCCTGTCACCCCACATCTGTCTCACTTGTCTAAGAGCTGATAAGAAGGGGCAGTAGGAGTATGCACACACTGTTTCAGGAAGCAGGGCCTAAAGAGGAAGGAAGACAGGATCTCCTCCAGTGGCACTTCCTTAAGGACAACAAATTTTCCTGAGTAATAATTTGGAGGGGACACTCAAAATTTCATCCATACTTCACTTAGAAAATAATGCATAAATAATTTCATGACAGGCCTAGTGGCATAGTCCTTTAATTCCAGCTATTAAGGAGACCGAGATAGAAGGATCCCAAGTTCAAGGCAAAACTGGGCAAGTTAGTTTCAAATGAAATGGTTTTTGTTGTTGTTGTTGTTTTATTTTTATATATATTTTTAAAGATGGAGGAAGTGTGTTGTGATTATAACTCAGTGACAGAGTTCATGCCTAGCATCTTTGAGGCCCTAGGGTGAGTCCCAAGTATTACAGTGGGAAAAAGAGATGTTGAAATCATTTGACACATGGGATGCTAAGATCTATCTTGTTTTTAGAGCAACAGACTTTGTAATTATCCATTGGCAAAGAAGGTTAAATCCTGCTTTTCATTGCTGCAATACCAACCTCTGTCACATCACAGCTTCATGTATTACACTGCCAGAGGCATCTCTTCAGCTTGCAAATTCCATTTGCAACCAAATGCTTCATCATTGAGCTCATGATGTTTCATTGTTTTTCTTCACAGGTGATTGATGTATGTGCAGAGTCGGGAGTTCATCGAAAACTCCAGTGGCTTCTCAGTATCCTGAACAAGCCCACCGGAAAATACTACCTTAGAATGGCCAGCAGGCTCTTTGCCGAGAACACTTGTGAATTCCTCCCAGTAAGTTGTATCAGTAGAATGAAAACACTGGTACCCACAAAAACTGTTACTATGGATCCCAGCAGAAGGACACTAGAGAAGTTGAGAAAAGTAAGGACCAGGTTCTAGCCAGTGTGCGGGTACATATCTACAATACCTGAATTTAGAAAGGTGTGCTGCAGGGTCACGAGTGCTAGGCCATCCTGGGCTACATAGTGAGACTCAACACCCTGACCTTCTAGAAAGACAATTCTATAATTATTCCTTGAAATATTTCAAATCTGACTACCTATAACATTTATATATTCATACCTGTTTTCCCCACTTGGAAAGGCCTGGTACACAGAGGTGTTGAACGTGACAGCTATACTCATTTTAGTTTTGTTTCTTAATATCATATTAATGAGAAGGTTGAAAATCTTGCTGCAATCTATTTTTGCAATGTTATCTCATGTGACATTTTTTTTCTCCTAAGACCTTTAAGGAGTCCTGTCTTCAGTTCTATAAATCGGAGATGGAGCAGCTCTCCTTTGCCAAAGATGCAGAGGAATCCAGGAAACACATAAACACGTGGGTCTCCAAGCAGACCAAAGGTCAGAATCTTAAATTATTTCACACCCCACATTCCTGTCCTTCCCATTCACCCCTCTCTCCTTCCTAACCTCTTTCTGTTAATTTCCGCTTCTCCCCACCACAGACTAACCTCACTATTATTTCAGAGAGTCAAAGGGATGCAGACTGGCTGGGCCACTTGGTATAATTTCAAGCTCAGTGAAGTCATGGAGGTCTACTCAGACACTTAGATGTTAAAAACAGAGCAGTTTATTTCTCTAGGACAGAGGGGCTGATGCAAATGTCATGAGAACTCAATGGGCCTGATCACTATTCTAGCACTTTATATTAGAAGACACAGGTGGCCTGCAGGGTTTACAGGTCACATGACTCCACCATCTCTGAGTTGGAGATCCATGGGCAGACCTTCCCCACAGTTCTGCCTGGGGCTGCTTCTTCCTACCGTCTGTGTTGCTTCAGCCCTCATCACTTATGGCTCCTAAGAGGACTCCTGTTTCTGTTGCTGTGCTTCTTGCTTCAGATCGGTTACTGACAGTTGATGACACTGGAGTTTTTTCCCTCTGGAGACACTCTGTCAGGGCCGCTCAGTTATACTGACCTAAAAGAACCTCCCATTTGGGGTTGAACCGTATTTGTTTTTATGTCACAGATGACAGGTTCCAGCATCGGTCTTAGAGATCACTGAGGTCATTATCTGATAGTTGAACCATTCAGATGCCTCTGTATCACTAGGGACATTCCTATTTCTGCTAGCAGACAGACAGTAAAGAATGAAACTCTTTGTTTCAAGACTCAGCAAATATTTGCTAATTTCTTGGTGGCGTCTTAACCTCTTGTGGACACTTGATATTGTAAGTTAGCAAGGATCGTTTTGATTAGTGAAAGGATACCCCTTACCAGAGAAGAAGGGAATCTGTCCTCTTACCTGGATTATCTCTTCCAGGAATGGGCAGCACTCCAAGGTGTAGAAAAGTAATACCTCCACAACCGCTTTCTGCCTTTGAGTCTGACACAGAACTGGGTGTGGCCATGGAGTGCTAGATGAGATGCTGTATTTAACATTAGTATATTAGTTGCCATCCTCTAGAGGAACAGAATGAGTACACATTGTAGAGGGAATTTAATGAATTGGCAGACACAGTACAGGGTTAGTACTCAGCCATTAACCTTTTACGTGTGGAGATGCTGAGAATCTCCAGCAGCTGTGTGGTAGCTGCTCAGCCTCTGAGGTTGGAGACCTCAGCAGTCTCGCTCCGCCATAAAAAGCCTAAAACGTTCTACAGAGCCACTGCTCTTCGTGCTTATGATGCCCAAAGCTACTGGGTTCCAGTGGCAGCTAAAAACGGCACGCGCAGTGACGTGAACAGACCAGATGCCTCCCGCCGCCCAGCAAGGCAGACAAAAGCAGTGCTGCTTCTTTCTCAGACCTTTACATCTGCAGAGCCCAGGAAGATGTTGTTCACCCCAGGGAGCTTCCTCCCCGTTACTTTCTCATGATGGGAAATGTCCTCACAGATCTGCCACGGATGGAGCTCTGTCTCTTAGTTGATTCCAGACCCAATCAAGACGGCAACCAACATTAGCCACCCCAGGTGGTAGCCATGATGCCAGCCCACCCCTGCCCACATTCCTTGTTTGTTTTGCTCTTCATCATGGAGTCTTTTTTTCTGCGTTTCCCAAACCTGCTTTCCTCGAGGGCCTTACGAGTCTCTCACCATCTTCCCTTTGGTGATGCTCCGTCCCACGTGCATGACCTCGAGGCAGACAAGGGTGTCGGTGTGTTGTTCTGATTCATTTTTTATTTTGTTTATCCAAGTTCAGCAAGTTTGAAAACACCATGCTTGGATTTGCCCAGATATCACATGAGTTTGTATCTCACAGTGTATAAACAAACCTGAGTGAAGTCTCTGCTTTCTCCAAAGGCAAAATTCCGGAGCTATTATCAGATGACTCAGTTGATTCACAGACCCGGCTGGTTCTTGTCAATGCCACATATTTCAAAGGAAGGTGGCATCGCAAGTTTGACATAAAATCCACCAGGGAAATGCTCTTTAAAATAAATGAGGTAAGGAATAGCATTTAAAAATTCAAAGGAAATTTCTCTTATAATTCAAAGGAAAGTGGCATCAACAGTTTCACAAAGAATGCACAATGGAAATGCCCTTGAAAATAAACAAGGTAAGGAACAGCATCTAAGCATGCATGTCAGTGTGATGAAGAAATTGCATGGGTTTCCTTCGTCGTGAACGTGCAGCTCAGGGCTCAGTGGTAGAGATGGTATATGCTGTGTGGGTTGCTGGCCTTCACCCTCAGCCCAGAAAGAAAGAAATCAGGAAAGCTCAGAAAACCATTTGAGATTTATGTTTAAGAATGAAAGATTAAACTTCTTAGAAAAATAAAAGGAGTAAGAATGAGGAGTACTTGCTGATTGTGTTATTTTGCAGTCTGTTGGTGGCTTTTACAGCTTCTGATCATTTTTTCATAAAACTATTGTTTCTACCTCATTCTAAAACTTTAAGTTCAAGAATGACAAACCTTAGCTGCTAAGGTAGTGTAATGTATGTATGTATGGGTCATGATGCAGTGTAGAAAGTAATGTATAAACGTTTAGTTAAAAAGTAATTTTTATTTAAACAAGCATTTTATGTTATTAGTCAATTTATCATATTAGGCAGTATTCATAGCTTTCTAATATTGAAAACGAGTGACTAAGATCTCAGTCTTAATTGGAGTATAATTTGAATTAAAGTAGATATTACAATAGTTTGCCCAATCTTTCTACAAATATAATTTAATGCAATTTGGAGTATTATGGGTGTTAATCTCAACATTCACTTTTTCTTAGCAGTATTTCAAACTTTGTGGAAAAAAAAGTTCTCTTATTGGGAAATTTAAGGTTCATTATGGATAGCCTGTAGCAAATTTTTATGTTTAACGTACCACTGAAATTAATTAAAGTCTTCCCAGGTGTCCCAATTCTGTATTTAAAATATACCATTGAACTGAAACAACTTCTTATGATTAAATCATAAGAAGTTGCACAAAGTTCTGTTAAGACAGCCCCAGCTTGTAATGGGTTGACCAGCATTTTCTGCTTTGTGATGGCTTATCAGACTGTAGTTTCACCACAGACTTACATAGATATCTGTCCATATGGTCCCCATGTGGTAGTAATTTGACCTGTGGTTTCCTTTTCCTTTGATGGGCTGTCAGGATGTAGCTCCGCCCTGTGTCTGTGACTGTATGTGCTTTTGAGCTTTCTGCTTTGTGATAGGTTGGAAGACTGTGACCCACACTGAACCTTTGAGCATGCGTGCTCCTGTGGCCAGGCTGTTTTCTGAGAGGATGTTTCTGTCTGTCACAACACTATGAAAATATTCTGGTCTACTTTATGAAAACGTTTTCTGCAATTTGTAATTGATTATGCTGTTTCCTCAGATGTAATTGTTGATCATCTTAAATGGTGAAAGTCCTACATGTGGTGTGTTAGTTAGTGTAACAAACTACCTGAGATAGTCAACTCAAAAGAAGGAAATGCCTATTTTGGCTGATGCTTCCAGACGTCTCGTTCTGGGTCAGTTGTTCCAATCACGGCAGGTTGTGGTGACGCAGTAGAGCATGGTGGAAATGCATGGTGCAGGCTTGTGACCTCACAGAAGTCAGGAAGCAAAGGAGAGAAACAGGAAGGGGCTGCTACAGTACCAATATCCCCTTCAGGGTTATCCCTTCCCCAATACTTAGTTTTCCCCCATTAGACCGTAGGGTAAAGTGTTGGCCAGCTCTCAGTACTGCCACCATGTGGACAGAGGCTTTGGAACATGGGCCTTTGTGGAATATTAGGACCCAATTAGGACCTAAATACTTATATTTGAATGGCACATTTCTTTTGCTGGATAACATTATCTTTCCCTAGTTAATCCCTGGCCTGGTTGTTTTGTCAATTTGACACAACCTACAGCCATTTAAGAAGGACTCTACATTGATAAATGGCCCCAATAAGACTAGCCTGGAGGCAAGTCTGTTGGGATTTTTCTTGATTAATGATTGGTGTGTTCCAGCCAATTGTGGGTGGGACCAACCCTGGGCAGATGGTCATGATCTGAATAAGAAAGCAAGCTGAGAAAACCAAGGGGGACTTGTCAAAAAGTAGCATTTCTGCATGGTTTCTTCTTGACTTCCTCCTCTGACTTCACTCAGTGACCTGAAAATTGTAAGATAAAATAGTTTTTTTTTCACCCCAAGTTGCTTTTGGTCATGGTGCTTTAATACAGTAGTAGGAACCCTAAGTACAAGAGTCATATCTATATCTGCTTACAGACAATAATTTTTACAAAAGTAGGAAGAGGCAGACAGACATTGTCTGTTTATTGGACTGTGAATATTCTTTTTATTGTGAGTGCTGAAAACAATCCTGGAACTAACTGCAGTTCATTCGGCAACTTTGAACTCTCTCCATAACATCCTTTATGTTTTTGATTTGTCTGTTTAGAAGGAGAAAAGGCCTGTGCAGATGATGTGTCAGGAGCACACGTTTAAGCTCGCCTACGTGAGTGAGGTGCAGGCACAAGTGTTGCTGTTACCCTATAAGGGCAAGGACCTGAACATGTTGGTCCTGCTCCCGGATGACGGTGTGGACCTCAGCCAGGTGAGGCAGGAGAGACTGTTGCTTTTGCCATTCCTGATGTCTTAGAGCAGAATCCATTGTTCCCAGTGTCTTTTCTTATTAGAACAGAACTCAACATTTTCACCTTTGTAACTGCCAGTTAATGGGATGGTACTTATAGACCCAGCTTTGTGTTGTGTACAAGAACTGGGTTTTGGGATCAAAGCTGTGTCCAAGTCTCCCACTATAGGCTCTGTGACCTTGACATATGACATAAATTCGTCACTAGAATGGGAGATGGATACCTGATAGAATAAACTGAGGGTAACCCAGGCAACAAACTTAGCACTGTGCTTGGAACAGAGACCCCCCTCCATTAATATAACCCATGACACGATCTTTGTCAGTATTTTATTTAACATGTGAGAACATAAAACAGAAAAATTGCTGCACTTTGACCTAACAAAAAGGAAAGAGGAGGTGTGCAGCTGGGGAGGGCAGAGTCAGGCAGTTCATATGTGGCATATCTTAGTCTTCCTTGCAACTGGATTCCCCACAGTGTGTCAGCCATCTTCAGCGTGGTGGGCAGTGGAGTGTGCGTGACCTCAGGTGTCTTTGTAAGCAGAGCAGCTCACCTGGCTCTCACCATCCAGCTCCCTAACTGTGCCATTGCTTGTCTCAGGTGTTAGCTAGTTTTTCATCACTGACCAAATGTCTGACATGAATAACCTAGAGGAGGGAAGATTTATGGTACCTCGCTGTTACAATGGCTTAATTTCAAGTTACCTGGCACCATTATTTGGGTCCATGGTGGCAGGGACTTCAGACCTGTTGGTAAACAGGAAGCAGAGACCTGTTTACCAAGGACCAACGGTGACTGTGAGAGGTACACCAAAGGTCCAATAAGTGCTTTTTTTTTTTTTTTTCATTCATCTAGACCTACCTTGTGCCTAAAATTTTTAGCTGCCTCCCAAACAAGGATTCAGCTTATTAAACTTTTGCTGTAATTTCATTTTCAAGGCACAAAAGCTCACAAAACACAAAGAATCCAAGCCTGGATAAACTCTTTTCTGACGTGGCTCACATCAATTCCTTTCTTTTCCAAAATTTAGTTTTTAGTTTTACAGTAATTATTTTACTATCTTCAAAACTAAGTCTAGATCAGGAAAACAAAAGCAAACAGGCCCCAAACCTTAATCACTTGAATCTGGACATCGATCAGAATAAAAGGTGTCTCAGATGTAATTGAGGATAATTAATTACATGCCCTGGGCCGCTTGGCCTCCGTGCCCATTAGGGAAACCACATACAAGCTAGCAGCACATTGGGAGCTGCACACTGCTGGTCATTTGAATAGGCAGTGTCCCATGTATGATGATGGAGTGTACTGTGAGCCGGAAGCGTCCCTTCCCCCTCCGGATAAGACTGCAACTGTGAGTCTGAAAGTCTCTAATTCTGCTTTGTCAGGTGGAAAACAATCTCACTTTTATGAAGTTAAAGGCCTGGACCAGACCAGACTTTATGAAGAGCACTAAAGTTTCAGTTTTCCTTCCAAAATTTAAACTGCAAGAGGATTATGACGTGGAGTCCGTGTTTCAGCATTTGGGAATAATGAATGTTTTCCAAGAGGGCAAGGTTGACTTATCAGGAATGTCTCCAGTGAAAGACCTGTGTGTGTCCAAGATTGTTCACCAGAGTGTGGTGGAGGTCAATGAAGAAGGAACAGAGGCTGCAGCAACCTTGAACACAGTAAATGAAAAATTGTGCAACACGGCTGTTTTCTGCGCTGACCGCCCCTTCCTTTTCTTTATCAGGCACAACAAAACCAACACCATCCTCTTCTGTGGCAGGTTCTCATCTCCATAAAGGCACATTTACTATGTGTGTGGGGTGAGGACAGTTCTCCCTTCCGCATCTTTTTAACTCCTACAGCTCTCTGAGGATGGGCAAACAGGGGGAAGCCATGTTCCTCCCTTCAGCCTGATCTTATGATGCCCGCATTCAGCTCTCCCTATCCCGACCTTCATCTGTGTCCTTTGCCAGGTCACAGGACCACAGAGTGGTATGGTTTCCTGTTGCGTTTAGGAGGGAAACAAATCCCACAAGACAACCTACAATGTACTGTAAGGTAACCCTACATAAACCCCTCCCTCGCTGCACAGAAAAGCCATGGGAGCTATATACACTGTCCTTTCCTGGCAGCTCAGCTCTTGCCATCACTTGCCTTAACCTGATAGCATCATAGTAAATGCCTCTGTGGGTGATGACCACTGCTGCACTTCTCCTGGGGACTGGTCCTTCATGCTCATTTTACATTTATTTTCTTTGCTGTCCACTACTCACCAGCTCTGTGCCCAACACTGTGTTAGGCTTGGGGACAAGCGCAGATGTATGCTCCTCTAAAGCTGGTCTTTACTATCTGTTTTCAACTTATCTAGTTGTCATGACAACTAGCTTGGACTACCACATGTTCCTGTGCATAAGTCATCCTTCTGAGGACTGCTGTGTATCCACCTCTAACTGTAATAGTTAAATTCTGTGAAGTCCTTAAAAGCCATTTCAAAATAAATTTTGTTTTCTCACCAACGATGTGCGTAGTTTGAACTTCAATTGGACCACTGAGCGCAGCTGCTTTATCTGTTAACCTTCTGATCTTAGATACTCCTCTAACTAGACACTATGGAGAAGTGGGAGGTTGAACCACAAGGAGAGGTCCGGGAGCATCGAGAGAATAGATTTGTGTTGATGACAGGTTGTATCTCCTGGTGAGAAAAAAAAACAAAAAACAAAACAAAACAAAAAAAACCCCTAAGCCCCAGGGCAGCCTTCAAACCAGAAAAATAAATATTCCAAGACCTTTTAAATTTTCAAAACTTAGGCCTTAGCTGGGGAGATAGTAGCCTGAGTTAACCCATCCATCTTCCAACCCCATGGCCAGCTATCTTCTCAGCATCCACAAACATGTCTGTCTTCCTCCAATGTGTTGAGGTTCAAAGCTTTTTTCTCTTCACTTCCCAGAGGTCCTTTCTCTCTACCAGGAAGTCCTAATTCCACTTCCTCTCCTTCTGCCCAGCTAATTGGCCAATCAGCTCTTTTTTGACAGTTGCTACAGCCACACAAGACATTCCACTACAATTTCCTCTTTTGGTCTACTAAAAGGTCCCCTTTACATATATGTCTATATTATTATACATATATACAATAAACTATGTACAGAAGAGCCATGAAACAATCAGGAAAACCATAGTTAAAAGCTACATTCGTAATGTTTTGTTTATTTGTATTTGGCAGCCTCAAGGAAAACATTTATCTCTCGTTTCTTGGTGAGTCTAAATATCTGAACATAAATCAAATCAATCTCTATCATATCTCACATCTATCAACCTAAAAACATATTTAGACCTAAGAACATATTCTTAGCTCCTAAGCAGCTAAGTGTAATTGTAAGACTATAAATACCAAGTCTTCAACCCTATCAGAGACTTAAGAAGGAATAAATATTACCTAAATATGTGGGAAGTGCAGGCAAGCAGCTCCCAAAACTATAGAAATGACACAGCTATTTGGCTGTCTGAACAGTCTTCCATAAACTTATTATAACATTGGAGTATATTCTTCAGCCTTCTGGCTCTAAATATTTGACAGACTTTTCGGTAGAGCAGGAATTATGAAGGATTTGCCCATCTTGTCCTTGTAAAGCTTGGCAACCAACTCTCCTACATCCAATTTGTCCGGTTTGGACAGTATTTTGTCTGTAATTGACCTAAGGACATTTTCTAACCTGGTGGCTAACTTACACATATGAAACCCTTGATGCTCTTTGCAGTAGAACAGGAGGACTGTCAGGAGCAGGCCTGTCTCATTGTCAAAATGCCTTAAGTTAAAAAAAAAAAAATCTTTCCATGCCATGTTTTGTAGATCTCTGAGGTGTTTGAAAACCACCTATCTATCTTATCTGAATAGTTTGTTTCTAGCTATTTTTTTTCTTCCAATCTAGGAAACATATTTTTTTATACTTAACTAAACTAGTATCTAATATGACTGCTAATATGCATTTCTTAACAATCCTAAACAGTTGGCAATATCAGTTTTCAAAAAGACTTGAATTTAACATTGCAATTTTAAGAATTACATAGGTACAATACCTTACATGTTTTAATAAAATAGTATCTTAAATATGTATTAATATACAAAGATCTATACCAATATAATATTTTTGGCTTATTAATGTTTTTTGGTCTAAAAGAAAATTCGATAATTTACCCTTTTACTTATCATTTCTATAACCAACCCCTTCAGTACAATAACAAACAACTATCAGTCATAGAATGACTAAAAATCATCCACCCCCCACCCCCCCATGATAATGGGACACAGTTTTCTTAAATTGATTCCTGATTTGGAAGTAGTTTATCTTTTGGGGGGAGGGCCAAGAAAATTGAGATATTATCTTAGTAAAGTCTTAGTAAAGTTAGCTATAACTTTCTGTCTAGTCCCTGAATGCTGAGAAAGTTCAGCTCTTAACTGAAGTCCTGACAGAAGCAGCCTGTGATGCTGGACAATCTAGCTAACCATTTTGAAATTGTCCCAATGCAGATTTTTGAGGAAGCAGTTATTGAGACCATCTTTGAGGTAGGATCACCTGGACTATTTGTCTTGTCATTTTTGGAGGCTGGTACTCTTTCTCTGCAAAATATATAAACTTTCAAGGGCATTAGACATTTTTGTAATACTGAAATATATATATATATATATATATATATATATATATATATATATATATATATATATATATATATATATATATATGGGTTGTGCAATGAGCACAGTTCATTTAAAGATAACTCTCTTTAAAACAAATTTTAATCTATGCCAGTTAAAAGAATGGCATGATAAGTCCCAAGGAATTTGAAAACAATCATTTATTGGCCATGCATAGATGAAGTCTTGGCTGGAGACATTTTTGTATCTCAGAGTTATTCCCATATGGAGGGATCAGTAGTTAATGTTACCTGTCCTGTTTGGCATTCTTGATTTCTGTCCTTCTGTTTGCAGCCAAGATCTTTAGGAGGTTTCCCCTTATTAAATCTGATTTTTATAAATTTGGATAGAATCCACAGGTTTTTTTTTTTCTCATGTAGAAACAAATGCATAACCCCTTTCCCAGAGTAACACATTTCCTTCCTCCATTCTGATATTAGGACATCTTTAATATAAACAGGCTGATTTAGTTCAGCAGTTTTTTTCATAATCCAATTCTCTCAGCTGCTGCTGTTTTTTTGGTTCATCAGCATTCAAAACATTTAAAGTCAATAAAACATTATGTAATCTATCTCTGGAGGTCTTTGATATTCCTTTTTTGTTAGGCATCCCTTTTAAAGTATGATTGAACCTCTCAACAAATGCTTGTCCTGTAGGATTGTATAGTATACCTGCAATATTTTTTATTATAATATGTAAAAATTGTTTCATTTTATTAGAGACATATGCTGGAACACTGCCAGTCTTAATGTGTATAGGTATGTCCATAATTGCCATAACTTCTAGGAAATGCATAATAACAGAATCAACCTTTTAAAGCAGTTGCCAATTGAAATCCTAAATATGAGTCTATAACACAGTGAGGATATTTCAGTTTACCACACTCTGCAAAATGAAATGCATCCATGTGCCAACTTTTTTTCTTTCTTTCTTTCTTTCTTTTTTTTTTTTTTTTTTTTTTGGCTACCCTTAGGGTTACTTTCTTTGGGTAATAGAGTTTGGTTATAAAAGAAACAAGTAGGACATGCTTTAATTTCCTTGGCTTGTTGCCAAGTGATAGAATATTCTCTCTTTAAACCTTTCACCCGTTAAAGTGGTGGGTTTTTTTTTTTTAATGAAATTCTGAAGCTTCTAATACACTTCATATCAATAGCTGATCAATTTCCTCATTACCTTGTGCCAGAATGCCTGGTAGACCCGTATTAAATCTAATATGCTTTATATATAATAGATGATTAGTGATCATTTGTTTTAATTGAATAAATAGTGACATTAAGTCAGAATCATTCCGATTTAGATGAGCAGTCTCTATATGCAAAATAATTCTTTCTTCATATTGAGAGTTAGTTACTATGTACAGAGATTCTTGAAAATCTGATAGCGCCATCGGAATTGCATACAATTACGATTTTTTAACTGAGTCATAAAAACTCTCAACCACCTTACTTATACTTTCTGACTTATAACCTGCCCTTTTTTGATTTGTTAGCATCAGTGTAAGATGTAAGAGCTCCGGAAATTGGAGTCCTTTTTATTATGCGAGGGAGAATCCCATTAGTTTTTCTTATGAACTGAATTTGTTTGCTTTTTGAGTATTTGTTGTTAATTTCTCTAAAAAACAAACAAACAAAAAAACACTACAAGCTCTTTGCCAATGTTCACTGTCTTTCCATAATATGACAGTATCAGCATTAGTGAGAGGTACCACAATCTCAGCTGGATCTAGTCCAGCTAATTGGCAAAACCTCATTTTTTACCCCTAGAATCAATTCAGAAACCTTTTCTATGCAGTTTTTTTTTTTTAATTTTTACTTTGTGGGCTAAAAATAGCCATTCTAAGATATAATCCTCCTTCTGCTTAAGAATTCCTGTGGGAGAGTGAGTAGAAGGCAAGATAACCAAATATAGGCCATCTTTGGCTCCAGGTGGGCTACATATACATCTTGAAGTTTCTTTTCTACCAGAGCCAATTCCTTTTAAGCTCTAGCTGATAACTTTCTTGGACTATTTAAGTCCTTATCACCTTGTAAATTTTTAAATAAATTACTTAGCTCTTGAGTAGCTAAACCATTTATAAGTCATATCCGGTTAATATCACCCAGAAAAGTTTTGAAAATCGTTAAGTATCCTTAATTGTTTTTCCTGATTTGTACCTTTTGTGGTCTAATTTCCTGTAGATTTATTTTGTATGCTAGATAATTAATAGAATCTCCTCTTTATATTTCTTCAGGAGCAATCTGCAGTCCCCAACAAGGCAAAGTTCTATTTATTTTATCAAACATTTTCTCTAAAGTATTTTTTTCTGAGTCAGCCAATAAGATATTATCCATATAATGATAAATTATGGATTGAGGAAGTGGCTTCTGAATAATCTCCAATGGCTGTTACACAAAATGTTGGCACAAAATAGGACTGTTTAATATTCCTTGTGGTAAAACATTCCAATGATAT